TATTTATAGGCTATATATATATATTTATATATATGTGGCTTTTCTTATATGCTCTCATCTGACAGACAATGCCTGTCTCATTCAGGAAATAACAGGAATTGCCTAATTACAATTCACAATTCAACAAGGTCAAAAGTTAAAATCCCCAGATTATATTGTGCCTTTACATGAACCTATTATTTCAAGTAAAAGAAAAGCACTGAACCTTAGAGCACCCACCTGAAAAAGAAACGCCCTGCTTTCAGGGGCCAAAGCTGAGTTTTCACATTTTTAGTGTGAAGTTCTTGGTGTGACAGTCACATTTTACAGACTAGATCCCCATTAAAAGACACTGAGTGATAGAGTGAGTATTTTTTTCTCTTTTATGCTTTTGATAGTTTAGATTCAGAGCCTTCCCGTGATAAAGCTCCATATGACTAAGTCATTAATGCACATAAACTATTAGTGCAAATAAACTCATTTATTAGAATGACTGATCTTTGCACACAAAAATGCAGCAAATAACAGAAAATCACAAGACATTACATCATTCCACTGACAAAGATGAGTCCAGTAGCCAAACAAAGGGATAAAATCTGTCAGTGCAAAAACCATCCATATAAAATATGTTATTGGTGATAAAATAGGATTTAGGCTAACAGAAAATTAATCCCTGGTCATATCTGTTGAGATTTCTGTGAATAAATGACTTTGTGTAGCAGCTACTATAATGTAAACTTAGAGACAAAGGAAGTTAGAGAAGCTATAAAGAGACAATTTAGTCCTACTTCTATAACTTCATTATGTTAGAGACAGTCACACGTTTTGATAGCTCAGACTGAGGGCCAGCTTAGTGTAAGGACTACATCTGTCTGCGGAGCCGCCAGTTTTTTCTCCATCTCCGGCTGTCACAGACTTTGACAGGTCACAGATTTTGGTGTAACACCTGCTGCACAAGTGGCCACAGGACAGCGGTTGGAGTGCGCAAATCCCAGGTGTGACAGTTTAGGGATATAAAAAAAATATCAATGCTAAATAATTCTCATTTCTCATAGGATTTATCAGATATTACGCTTATTGAGGCAGAGAGTAACGGTGCAGAGCTTCCTTTGAATGTGAAGCCGTGCCGTGCCTTATTAATGCCTACTTAGAAAATGCTCTCTGGGTATAAAAGGTTGAAAAGGGGACAAGGAGGAATGGTATTGAACTCATCTACCCTTGCACTACTCCAGCAGTGTTGCCCCCCCCCCCCCCCCCCCCGCATCCTCTTCAAAGGGGAGGTGAGGGTTTGATCACTGCGCTCTCACGCAACTGGTCAATCTTTAACTCCAGCGGAGAACTAACAGATACAAGCACGACATGGCATTTGACTGCTGTATCAGGACTGCAAGCTGCCTGGGTGGTGACTGTGGAAGTTGTCACAAACTCCTGCTCTCACACCCAAACCCTGATTTCATTACCACACGCAAACAGGATTGCCTTTGGAAGACAGAAGTGTGACACTTGTTGTATGGTGTTAAAGCTCGTTATTCCATCATTTCTAGAGCGGAATAAAGTTATTTATAGACTAATGCCTTTGATACAGTGTTGTAGACTTTTTCCGCGCAAAACACAAATCATTCTTCCTAATCTTGACAAAGAAAATCAAACATTGATAACAAGTTTCCTCCAATTATTGATTCAAGTCAGTTTTAAATCAATAATTTTACCCCATCAAAGGGTTAGCTGAGCTTCTCACATGGTTTAAGATATATCCACCTGCTATCGCCTTAATTAATTTGTATGGGATACTGACAGCCGAGTGGATTAGATTATTTGATCGCATGGAAGTTATGAATAAGGTTCCTGCATCAGCAAACACAACACTGGCACATATAGGGTCCAATTATGTTTTATAGCCACAAAGGCAGCGCATTTTGAAATTAAAATTAGGCTAAAGTAAATATCATAGCCCAAATATTGCAATTAAATAAAATAGCCTAAATAATAAAAATAGAACCCAAACAGAAGATTGCATCTACAAATCCTGCAGAACAGTAGCCTAGGTGACATGTATGAAACTGAACAGTGTTATCAGAGATTGTAAACAGTTGTGTATTGGTGGACCTGATATTTGTCTGTGTGAGCCATTATGTCTTATCTGACCATAAACTATAAAACATAACAGGCTATAAAGTCATGCAAGCCCACAACTTTGTTACAACAACTGGGAAAAAGTATGATTTCTTCATTGATATGAAGTTTCAAAGTGTTCCTAATCTCGCACGCACCCAAACACCACACACACGCACACACACGCACCTTTTCTAAACTTCATTCATGACAAACAGAGAGAGAGGGAGAGGGAGGGAGGGAGGGAAAGAGTGATTACGTCATGAACAGCAGCCAATGAAGCTGTGGAGCGCACTATAAAGCAAGAGCCCATTCTCTGTTTTGGGGACATCAAGAGAGTTACCTCGGACAATAACTCCACTTAACGATATTTATACTATCTTGCAAAGTACTTTTGGGATCACAGCATTGTTCCTCTGTCACCGTTCCACTAAGGTAAGCTCCATCTATGCATGGTGACAGATTGATTTCTACCTGAGGAAGATATGTGAGAGTGATAAGAGCAGAGTGCTGACTTGGATATTCTTCTGCAAGCTAAATCAATAGGAGTCTTTGCAGTTGCAACTTTGAATATGCTTATTCTTTTTAATCCTTGTGTTGTATTCATGGGCTTTCTGAGTCATAGTGTAAGGTGGTAATACACTTTAAATAGCCTGTTACTTTGCATAGCCTACCATTTGTAAAAAGAATTATGGTGCAGCATGTGAACACATGAAGTCCAATTAATACTAAACACATGGCGTGTGATAGTCCTCACTTACTTTAAACTTTATGGTGCATGTAGTCAACATGTTGCACAATACTTCTCCTCCTCACTGCCTTCACTACTCTCATGCCCCTCCTATTTAATTTCCAGGTTGTGCAGAGGCCAGAAAAAAAGGAGTTGTCATCATGGCGCTAATGATACTACCGTTCATTGGATCAGTGTCGGTATCTGAGAGTCTGGTTGCCATGACAACATTGTGTCTGGTCTACCTGATTCTCAAGTTTTTCCACACCAAGATTCCTGAGGGACTTCAGCGGCTGCCTGGACCAAAGCCCCTGCCTATCATTGGGAATGTGCTGGAGGTGGGCAGAAATCCTTACCTGAGCCTCACTGCCATGAGCAAGCACTATGGCAATGTCTTCCAGATCCAGATTGGCATGCGCCCTGTAGTCGTGCTGAGTGGAAGTGAAACAGTTCGGCAGGCTCTCATCAAGCAAGGGGAAGATTTTTCTGGTAGACCTGACCTGTACAGCTTCAGGTTCATCAACGAAGGCAAGAGTCTGGCCTTCAGCACAGACCAGGCCGGCGTCTGGCGTGCCCGTAGGAAGCTGGCCTACAATGCCCTGCGTTCCTTCTCCACCCTGGAAGGCACGACCCCAGAGTACTCCTGCATGCTGGAGGAACACATCTGCAAAGAGGGAGAGTATCTGGTCAAACAACTTGACACCGTCATGAAGGCTGACGGCAGCTTCGACCCCTTCCGCCACATTGTCGTCTCTGTCGCTAATGTGATCTGTGGAATGTGCTTTGGCCGACGCTACACCCATGATGACCAGGAGTTGTTGAGCTTGGTGAACCTCAGTGATGAGTTTGGCCAGGTGGTGGGGAGCGGTAATCCTGCAGACTTCATACCTGCTCTTCAGTACCTGCCCAGCACTACAATGAAGAAGTTTCTGAACATCAATGCCCGCTTCAACAACTTTGTGCAAAAGATTGTCAGCGAGCACTACACCACCTTTGACAAGGTACACCATCCACTAAATCCATTTTTCTTTTAATGAAAATGACACATTGTTTTCCCTTTTAATCACTGCGTATAAAGGATTTATTGAGATTGTCCAATCTTCTTTCAGGACAACATTCGTGACATCACCGACTCCCTCATTGATCACTGTGAGGACAGAAAGCTGGATGAGAACTCCAATGTCCAGATGTCAGATGAGAAGATTGTAGGAATCGTCAATGACCTGTTTGGAGCTGGTAGGTTGAATTTCTCTGCAAATTAAATGATCTGATGTGTGAAGTGACCTCCATAACTTACTTAACTAACTTAACTGAACTTCCCGTTTAGGTTTTGACACCATCTCCACTGCCCTGTCTTGGTCAGTAATGTACTTGGTGGCATACCCAGAGATACAGGAAAGGCTTTATCAAGAACTGAGTAAGTACAGCTATTTTACACAAAATACTTCCTTGATTATTCCATTTTTTAAGTTCCATTTTTGGGGGGTATATTCCAAAAACAGACCAAAAAGATAACCACTCTAGAACTCATCATTTCAAATGTTAGCCACATCCAACAATACCTTTCCCTGTGAGTTGCCCAGATTTTTCTACACTCCATGTTCTTCTGTCCTCTGGCCTTTTGCAACACAAGCTGGTCCTAGTCCAGCACAACCACCCTGAAGCCCCTCTAATCCGTCTATAAGAAATCTCTGAAAAAAAAACCCCATCAGCACCACCACCATTGCATTATTCTTAGCAAATTTAACCTGTTGAACCTTGAATATTTCATATTTTCCTGATGAACAGTTAGTTTATAAAATCACCCACAGCTTGGCCCCACCCTCATCCTCATGTGTCATCCCCTTAAGATAATGAACCCCCCTGCTGTCCAAGATCAAAACTGTGGCTAAAGGGGAATCAGGAATGCAATCATTCATTGTAATTTTATGAACTGCTATTAAAACAACCACAACTAACCATGTACCTAGTGAACAGTGTTTGATAATGCTTGTGTATGATGTATATGATTGCGCCAATTAGTGGTTAAACAAAAAATAATGCAGGAACCCACATTTTGTGGCTCTCGTAGTTAAATGCTTGCAATGACTTTTTTTCCAGAGGACAATGTGGGTCTCGATCGTACTCCTCTTCTCTCTGATAAACCCCACTTACCCTTTCTGGAGGCCTTCATCCTGGAGCTCTTCCGCCATTCGTCATTCCTTCCCTTCACTATCCCTCACTGGTAAGGTTAATCTCTTTTAGATACACAAAAGTACCACACATGCCTGTGAAAATTAGATGTTAATGACATGCCGTATTCTCACAGAACCAACATACAACAAAAACATAGCTATCACCAAGAATATGTCTGAGCCTGTCAATACATGATGGACTAACAATTTGTTCTTCTTTTCAGCACAACAAAAGACACATCTCTGAATGGCTACTTCATTCCCAAAGACACCTGCATCTTCATCAATCAGTGGCAGATCAACCATGATCCGTAAGTTCTTTTTCTCAGTTTAAGATGACCAACAATTGATCATAGCCTTGCATTTTTATTGACATGGTTATTCATGCATCTTATCTTATTGCTTTGCTCTCTGCACTTTTCAGTGAGCTGTGGAAAGATCCATCTGCTTTCAACCCAGACCGCTTCCTGAGCGCTGATGGCACTGAAGTCAACAAGCTGGATGGGGAGAAGGTGATGGTTTTTGGCATGGGAAAGCGGCGCTGCATCGGCGAGGTCATTGCACGAAATGAAGTGTACCTCTTCTTGGCAATCATCGTCCAGAAGCTGCACTTCCACACGATGCCCGGAGAGCCTTTGGACATGACCCCAGAATACGGTCTCACAATGAAGCACAAACGCTGCCACCTGAGAGCCACAATGCGAGCGAGGAATGAGCAGTGAAGCTGTTTTTAATGTGTGATGTATGACTCAATAGATGGTTTAAGTTGACTCTAACACTGTATGGGTCACAGCCATGATAACAGTCAGTGAAAGAAGCATCTTTCTCAGAATGTAAGGCATTGGTTGCCGAATTTGATCGACAGAGCTAATGACATTGAAACAAATGAGTGAAATGTGCTTGCTGCAGATCATCAGAGGTGTCTTGGTTTGTGTGAACGCACCTCTGTAATGTTTTTGGTTCTCTGAGTGATAATCGTGCACATGGTTGTTGCTTCTCAGTGAAGTATAAGGAGATACCTGGTTCTCCTGCATTATGTAGTAAACTAAACTACTCCCATTAAGAAGTTGTAAAACACTCTGTAACTAAGTCACCTTGTTCAGCTTTGGGACACACAGTATGTTTTACTGAATAGGCATTACTATTTAGGCAACTGCAACCTAAATTGCTGTCTTCTGTGACACAGGACTCTGAACTGAAAGGATATTAGCCTACCTTATGATGCCATTGCCACTTGTAAGCTAATTATTTGTATGACATTATAATGCGGGATGTAAGACACTGAAGCTATATTTGTATCCCAAAAAAATGTGATTTTTTTGTATATCAAGTACTTTGTATTTTATAAAGTCATTTTTATGTGCCTAGTGTTTGTATATTTGAGGTGAAATAGATTTGCTCTGCATCTACATAAAAAATATCAGGACACCAAAAGAGTTCCAGTGATTTTTGGAATATATTAGTAGGCTATAGATTTTGTTAATCTCTAATGTATCAATGATTGTATAACATGTAAGGGCATGTGATCGGAGCATCCTTTAATCTGCCACGCAAATAAAATATGCTGTAATGATCATCTTGTTGTTATTGTTTGCTTGATTTGAAAGAGACTAATTTACCCACACACACTAACATGGTGAGGACCATCATATAAGTCAGTCACTGACTGAATTTTATGATCCATGTCAGACTACAGAATATTAAACCACACGGCTTGAAACTTTGGAGAGAAAAAAAAAAATCACAACAAACCCACGTGGGAGATAAAGGAAGTGACGTTACGTATCAACCCGGAAGACGACACAAACAACAGCTGGAGCTTTGGCATTCAGGATACCTCGCCACAGACTTATCGACAAGGTAGCCTACATCAATATGTTATCGACTGAATGTGCTCGGGTTTGGTTTTTAAAAGGAGTAAGAACCCGTCACAAAGTTACAGTCCGCTTAGACAAAAAACAAACAGGGCGGACGAAGACGAAGCTAATGTTAGTTTCCCTGCTAGCATACCCAGCTTACTGGTTGCTAAGCTAAATTTGTTGTGACTTTCTATATTTCTCTGAACACTGCCCTCATATAGATGCTATTTTAGGTTCATTTCCCCAAAGTACTTAGTACACAACTCTACCTCAAGCAGGGTCATGCAGTACGCGAAGAAACTTAAATCAACGATAACGTTTGTTAGCTCATGTGTACACAAAGCTTGGCGACGCTACATAGTGGAATATAAATGAAGAACTTTAAATTTAAGGAACCAGTTTTTACTACCACGAGCACCCCATAACACTAAGCTGTCAGTTAGTAAGGTCCTGTCACTATTACTGTTCAAGTTTAACGTATCATTTAATCGCCATTTCTGCACCGGTAGTAGTAATTAGCCCCACATACATTACAGGGGAGCAACATGGACCAATAAATTAAGACCAGGTGCTGCATGCTGTAACCTTTAGTGGACCAAGTATAGCAGGAGACCATATTAATTTGTATAATGTCTACATTTAAAGTGTTCTTTGATTAATTTGACAATGAAATAACAACATTAAAGGGGAACTACACTTATTTTCAAAATTCATAGATGGTATTTCAATTTCAAGGAAGTCAAAAAATATGTGTAAACATGAACAACTTTGTTCCAAATCTCACAAGTAGAGTGCTAAAACTCCAATCTGTGATGTCACTGGCAATGAAATCTGGAGCTGCTATATTGACATTGAATGGTGAAAGATGTTGTACATGACACTGAAAGCACCTGGTGTAATGTTCTGAGTATATGGCCCTGTGTCCATCAAAGGGTTTTTTTTTCTCAGCTAAAAATGCCAGGTGTTCCTCAGGAAATGCCTGGCTGGGAGTGTGCTTTGGAGGTGTTTTTTTTTTTTCAGCTGAGAGGCTTGGTTGCATTTGTTTGCTATGATACAGAATATCCCTTGAAGTAAACATGTCAGCACAACGTAGAGGACTTGCTCTGGATGAGTGGAAGGCTGAAGAATGCAAGGAGAAAGGATGGACCCGCATGTCTGTATGGGTTCAGAAGAGGAAACACAATATATATATTCAGTATATTACCAATTTCTTCTCCATTGTTTTTCTTCTTCAGCACCAATAAGTCAAAGTCCCCCCCGAAATGAAAATGAAATATCTGTAAAATACCTGTTTCAACTACTTAAGGTTGATTATCATTTATTGTTTTTTATGTTTTTGAACCACAGTGAACAGAATGGCCGCTGACTGGTTGGGTAGTGTTGTGTCTATCAACTGCGGACTGGCGTTGGGAGTTTACCAGGGAGAGGTGTCATCTGTTGATCACGCCAGCCAGACCATCTCACTGAGACAGCCCTATCACAATGGGATCAGATGTCATCTTCCCGAGGTCACTTTCAGGTAAGAAAGATGAAGGATGCTGAAATATTTTCCTATATTGCTCCTTGACTGGAAATACACAGATTTAACTACTTCACCTACAGTCAGGTCCATAATTATTTGGACAATGATACAGTTGTCATCATTTTGGCTCTGTACACCACCACAATGGGTTTTAAATGAAACAATGAATACCTGCTTAAAGTGCAGACTCTCAGCTTTCATTTAAGGCTTTTTTCAAAAATGTAGTATGAACCGTGTAGGAATTACAACCATTTCTTCACACAGTCCCCCAACTTTAAGGGCTCATAAGTATTTGGACAAACTAACAAAATCATCAATTAAACAGTCAGTTTCAATACTTGGTTGCAAATCCTTTACAGTCAATGACTGCCTGAAGTGTTGGACACATAGGCATCATCAGATGCTGGGTTTCTTCCCTGGTGATGCTCTGCCAGCCCTTTACTGCAGCCGTCTGCACTTCCTGCTTGTGTTTTGGGTGTTTTGCCCTCAGTTTTGGCTTCAGCAAGAGAAACGCATGCTCAATTGGATTCAGGTCAGATGATATGACTTGGCCATTGCAGAACATTCCACTTCTTTGCCTTAAAAATGTCTTTGGTTGCTTTTGCAATATGCTTCAGGTCAATGTCCATCTGCACTGTGAAGCATCGTCCAATGAGTTTTTAAGCATTTAGTTGAATCTGAGCAGATAATGGTGCCCCAAACACTTCAGCTTTCATCCTGCTGCTCTTGTAAGCAGTCGCATCATCAATAAATACAAGAGAACCAGTTCCACTGGCAGCCATACATGGCCATGACATAACAGTGCCTCCACCATGCTTCACTGATGAGGTGGTGTGCTTTGGATCATGAGCAGTTCCTTCCCTTCTTCCTTCTCTTGTCTTCCCATCATTCTGGTAGTTGATCTTTGTTTTATCTGTCCAAAGTATGCTGTTCCACAACTGTACAGGCTTTTTAGATGGTTTTTGACAAACTCTAATCTGGCCTTCCATTTTTAAGGCTAACCAGTGGTTTACATCTTGTGATAAACCCTCTGTATTTATTCTAGTGAAGTCTTGTCTTGCTTACAAGAGCAGCAGGATGAAAGCTGAAGTGTTTGGGGCTACATTATCTGTTCAGATTCAACTAAATGTTTCAAAACTCATTGGATGATGCTTCACAGTGCAGATGGACATTGACCTGAAGCATATTGCAAAAGCAACCAAAGACATTTTTAAGGCAAAGAAGTGGAATGTTCTGCAATGGCCAAGTCATATCATCTGACCTGAATCCAACTGAGCATGCGTTTCTCTTGCTGAAGCCAAAACTGAGGGCAAAACACCCAAAACACAAGCAGGAAGTGCAGACGGCTGCAGTAAAGGGCTGGCAGAGCATCACCAGGGAAGAAACCCAGCATCTGATGATGCCTATGTGTCCAACACTTCAGGCAGTCATTGACTGTAAAGGATTTGCAACCAAGTATTAAAACTGACTGTTTAATTGATGATTATGTTAGTTTGTCCAAATACTTATGAGCCCTTAAAGTTGGGGGACTGTGTGAAGAAATGGTTGTAATTCCTACACGGTTCATACTACATTTTTGAAAAAAGCCTTAAATGAAAGCTGAGAGTCTGCAATTTAAGCAGGTATTCATTGTTTCATTTAAAACCCCTTGTGGTGGTGTACAGAGCCAAAATGACGACAACTGTATCATTGTCCAAATAATTATGGACCTGACTGTATGTTGAAGGCTCTCCAAATAGTCAGGTGTTTGTATTTCATCCTCCGCCTCAACAGTTTCCATAAAAAACCTTAATGTCTGCATGCTGCCATGTGTATTAATACCATCTTCTGGGAGATTATATTTTTAGTGTCAAAACTTTTTAGAAGGTCTAAATGACATTTGGTGGAAAGGGCTTATGTTAAATTGATCATTTTTATCCATGATAGATTCATAAAATTTCAAACAATTTCTCATCATTACAAGACGGTGCTTTTGACCATTCAACCACTATTAACCAATGCATTACGTTTTTGAGTTGACCACCATCCTATTCTAGTGAAAGTAATATTTCATTAAGGAAGTTTATTGAAATTTGGCACAAACATTCACTTGAAATCAAGGATAAACTGATTAGATTTTGGTGGTTGAAGCCAGGTCAATGTGACCCCATCCTTCTCATTGTTGTGAACACAATATGTCAAGATGAACAATGAACTGATTCAATTTTGGTAGTCAAAGGTCAAGGTCTCTATGACCTCACAAAACAAATTTTTGGCCAAAACTTAAAGTTCACACAAATGTCTCAAAGGATAAAATGATGAAGTGATGACATTTTAAACTGAAAAAATTCTGACAATGTCTGGGCATGCTCCTGATGAGTCAGCACATGGTGTCCTGGGGGATCTCCTCCCAGACCTGGATCAGGGCATCAGTGAGCAGTACTTGGCAGTGTTAGACGCAATGGTACATAACATCCCATAGGTGCTCGATTGGATTTAGGTCAGGGGAACAAGAGGGCCAGTCAGTGGCATCAGTGCCCTCGTCATCTAGAAGATGCCTATACACTCTGACCACATGAGGCTGGGCATCGTCCTGCAACAGGAGGAACCCAGGGCCAACTGCACCAGGAGGAACCCAGGGCCCACTGCACCAGCGTATGGTCTGACAATTGTGCTGAGGATTTCATCCCAGTACAGCATTCAGGATACTGTTTGCTATGACATGGAGGTCTGTGTGACCCTCCAAGGATATGGCTCCCCACACCATCACTGACCCACCACCAAATCAGTCATGCTGGATATTGTTACAGGCAGAATAACGTTCATCCTGGCATCTCCAGACTCTTTCACACCTGTCACATGTGCTCAATGTGAACCTAATCTCATCTGTGAAGAGAACAGGGCGCCAGTGGCGGACCTGCCAAATCTGGGGTTCTCTGGTGAATGCTGGTGCCAGTCGAGCGGCACAGTGCTGAGCTATGAGCACAGATCCCACTAGAGGACGTTGTGCCCTCTGACAGTTTGGTCAGAAACATGCACACCAGTAGCCTGCTGGAGGTCATTTTGTAGGGCTCTGGCAGTGCTCTTCCTGTTCCTCCTTGCACAAAGGAGCAGATACCGGTCCTGCTGCTGGGGTGATGCCCTCCTACGGCCCTGTCCAGCTCTCCTCGTGTAACAGCTGGTCTCCTGGTATCTCATCCATGCTCCTGAGACTGTGCTGGGAGACACAGCAATCCTTCTTGCCACCACACATATGGATGTGCCACCCTGGAGGAGCTGGACTACCTGTGCAGCCTGATTGGGCTGCAGGTATCACCTCATGCTACCAGCAGCGACAAGGACACTAGCAGAACACAAAACCAGAGAAGAATCAGTCAGGAAGGATAAGGAGAGAGCAAATGTCTGTGGCCTCCACATGAAAAAAGATTCCTTTTTGGGGGTTGTCTTGCTTTTGCCTCTCCATTGCACCTGTTGTCACTTTCATTCGCACCAAAGCAGGTGAAATTGATCACTTGAGCTTTCTTAATGGACAGATTCATATCCCCAAAGTTTAACTGACTTAACTGACGATTAAGTGTTCCCTTAATTTTTTTGAGCAGTGTATATCCAAAAGGTCAAAGGTCAACTTTGCTGTGACATCATAATGTTCTGGCCATTACTCAACGTCATAACTCAGTAAATAGAGGGGAAGACATTTGGTCAGGCACTAAACTGATGACCCTAATCTTTGGTCTTCGCCTTTAAACTGTGTTGATTGTATAGATTCTCTGGGCATTTGGGTTAAAGATGTGTGTAAAGTATCCATGTTTTAGAATTTGTAAGCAGCAACATCCATATTTGAAGCAATGTTAACTGTCGTGGCTAAGATGAGTCTGGACAGACATGGATGTAAACTTGTAGTTTGAATTCTAATTAGGTTCCATAATTTGTTTTGTCTTCTAGTGCCATGGATATCAAGGATTTGAAGTTCCTAAATATCCAGAATACAGTCAACAAGCCCAGCTCTGGTCAGGGAGCTGCAACAGAACCCAGTGTGATACTGTCAGGAAGCCAGGGTCAGAGTAACAGAGTCACTCAACCTCATGTAACAAGCAGCAGCTCTCAGTCCAGCACTGCTCCCATCACCATCCTACGCAGAGGTAGGTAGATGGTTAACTTTGAGTTTAATCACCCATCAATCACAGTTGATTTTCTTCAATAGAAAGCATAGTTAAAGAAACTGACATTAGAGTTTTATAATGCATAATAATAAGTGACATTGTAGAATGCCACGTAACAATTTCTCATTATCGGATCAGACTTAACTAATGTCTCATGGGGTTGAAGTCCTTTTAGCTTAAGCTTGCATGATTGAATTGTTTGACATCTTTTGTGTTACCAATGTTTTGTGCTTTTCTAATGAGTAAAGAATACACAGTTTGTTACAACAAATGCTGCAGATAACAGAATCAGGTTTTTCGACTGAGCCTGTGACACTTAACACTGCAGGTGGTAAACAAACAAGTGAACACTGTCAAAGGAGAGCATGATCATGCAGTGAAATACTAGGAGATTGACAGGTTATTCTACTAATGCTCTAAAACGCTGAGACAGTTTGACACAGGCTTTCATAGGTTAGGAAAGCCCAGTTTATTTAAAGATTTTGCTGCTTCATCATGAAGCTGCATTTCATAGTTCTCAATTCACAGAACTATTGTTGCAAAGTTCGTGTTGGGAGTCATGTATTACATGACAGGAATTTACCGCATGATGGCTATACAGTAAGCCTCTGTTGAGGAACAGAACATAGATATTGTTCATCGACGGGAGGAAATGTGACACACAGCAGTGTCACATATTAGCCAACCCCTTATTGTATCTTCCAGAGTGTTGCGACTGAAAATGGGCTGAAAATGCAGAGTCACTCAACATCACTCTTTTTGATTGTTCAACAGACGTGTGATGTTTACTCGTCAACAATAGGAAGGAAGTCAGTTTTCTCAGCAGGTCAAATGATTTCTGAGATGTCACATGATGCTAAAAAGTTCAAATTTGCAAACAACTTTTCACTCACCAAAAACAATACCACTTATTGAGTGATGATTCTAAATCTCATGATAAGACCAAAATCAACAGTACAGCTGCAACAGTTAATTGACACTGCTTGACATTTTTCTTTATTTTATTAGTTTTTAGACCAATCAACTAATCAATTATTTGAGAAAATAACTGACAGATTAATAAACCATAGGAATAATCATTAGTTGTAGCCCTAACTGGCAGTACTGCAGTGCTTCTCTCAACACTTTAGTTCCCTCTGAAGAAATCCATCTTTAAAATGGTTCTCAAATATGTTATTTCCTTGAATTACAGCTCAGTAATTTTATTAAACAAATAGACACTGTAGCTTTTAACAAATGTTTCTCATATGAGAGTGAATATAGTGTAGTGTTCCTGGTAATGAAAGTCCCAGCCAGTGCATCCATAGACTGTAAAAGTAATGGACTGAGCTAACATGACCTATTGGTCATCACCTGTTTGTGGACTGCTGTTTTGATGCCTCAAGTTTGAAATTTCGGCTGTTGCTATTTTGATTGTTTGGAGTGAGAAGTGACCATATTTGGATGAGAAATTGGAGCTGTGGCGAAGCGAGTGGTGGGGTGTTGCAGCAGATACCCCACAGACAGCCTGTTCCTCAAGTGCCCTCGCCCTTAAATATGCATAACCTTAAAACGTAATGAAAAGGTAAATGGGTGAGTTATAAAAAAAATTCAGCCTCCATACAGCTGTCATAAATATTTAGATTAGCTAGAGACCAAAAGCAATTTTGTACCAGGCTGTAAACATGTTTATTTATGCTGTTAAGTCAGGCAGTGTAGCATCGGGGTTCTACTGGGATTTACTCTGTTTTTGAACCAGCGTTAAGTGGCCATTCGATCAACTGCAGAATTGGGTTCATTTTTTCAGCCTTGGAGGCTGCTGCTTGAGTGCAGCAGTATTCATGTATTATTATTTTTTGGTTTGCTTTTAGACAACAATGGAGCTCTGTGGCATAGAGGCAAAAGATACTGTATATCTGGCTTTGGATACACTGATAGTTATAACAAATATATACAGGGAGCTGGGGCTGAATGTGTGTTGGACACTGGGCTTTGGGGAAAAAATATTTTTTTGGAGATTAGAATTGTAAATGAGTAAATGTAAAGTGAGGTTTAACTCTATGTTGTTGACTCTTAGGTTACCACCTGCTCTATCAGTCTAAGGATAGGGCAGACAAAGCAACAGGAACATTTTGCAATGTCTTGCAACACAGTGGCCCTAGCCAAAACATTATACCATTGTGAAGCTAATGTTGTTGTTTATATCAGAGCCTAGACTTTCTATGAGACGGGTTGATTCAACTCTGTGGTAGTACTTTGTAGTTATTTGTGGTGCCATGATTTGTAGTGTTGATAAGCAGAGTTGGGTATAACGCATTACAAAGTAACATTCAGAATTGGGTTCATTTTTAACGCGTTCATTTCCTAGCGTTAGAGTACTTTGATTACTTTTTGCAGTAACGAGTAACCTAACGCGTTAGTTTGCTGTTTGAGTAATCAAATACTTAAGTACATTTTCAAACAAGACATCAGTTACTTCCGTTACTTTTAGAACGCTGGTCCTTCAGCTCTGAAACAGCAACGGCTGTCGTTTGGTTCTAATAACGGAGATAACGTTAAACCTATCAGTCTGAAAGAAGCCACGGAGCTTGTGGCTCGCTACGTGGTCGGAGAAATGCTGCCATTGTCTATGGTGGAGTCTCAATAGGTGGAGTAGGACTCGCTGACAGACATATTTCAGACTCAGGACTTGCATTATGCCTGGTACATGCTACACGCTGGTACTCACCAATTATCCCCAGTCGTCTTTCACGGTGTGTGTGATGTCATCGGGTTATTGTTGTCCTGTTTTTATTACTTTCACTATTATTTGAGTCACTGCCAGAACTGTGTCTGTTCATGTGCCAGCCGACATGTTGTTGTAGTCACCTAAAAGCGTCAGCAGATGGCAGGAGCTACATTTGAAGCGCCATACGTAAACTATCAAGCTACTGTATCTTCCACAGGAAGTTCTGACAAATGTTTCAGAATAAAAGCCTATTTAGAAAATGGAGGGATTCTCTCAGCTGAGGTTATAAGGGGCTTTTAATTTGAAACAAGTGTTGAGTTTGAAATGACGGTGCAATATGTTAACTTTACAAAGACAACAGAGCGGATAAAAAGTAAATATATAAACACACAGAGGGATTAATAAATAACGAACCGTCTATAATGTAGTCTGTTTCAAATGAAGCTGGGAGCCTCTGCAGTTGTGGTGAGTAAAAGCCCCGCCGCTATTTGTTAATGTTATTACTTTATGTCCGACCGTGAGGATGTACCATTGTTTGCTAGCTTGATGCTAATGACAGTAAAGTTAACTCAGCGGGTTGACAAAGTGCCTCTGCTGTTTCACACCATCATTTCCCCCTTTTACTCTGTGTGGTAACATCCCTAGAGGAAATATTAAAAATGCTGGGGTGTTGTTGTCATACAGTTGTCTACGGCAGCAGATCGTTCTGTGTTTCTACTGGTCAAAGTGACGGCTGTGATGGGAGAATTGGATCTCAGTGAAGGGCAAATGGTCCATAACTTTAATTTTGTAGACAAAAAAATGTAGGCTTAGCGCCCTGTGGTCCATTGCCCAATAGGAAATGTAGAATACTCAAAAGTACTTTAAAAGTGCTTGAGTTACTTTTCTCAGGGAGTAACGTTGGAAGTACTTTTAAAGTAAGTGAGTTACTTTACTCAGGGAGTAACGCAGTAAAGTAACTGGTTACTTAAAAAGTAACACAGTAACGTACTTTGATTACTTTTAAAGTAATCCTTACCCAACACTGTTGATAAGGAACTGTCTTGTCTAGTGTCATTTAAGAATGTATTATGAGTCATATATAGCTTTCTTTTTTAAAGATAATATGCTGTATTATGTAGCGCTCTTGATATTTCGTCGCCCTGGTCCTGCCCAGATTGGCTTTTATGCTGCGTGTGCACGCTTTTAGGTCAGTTCTGAAAACTCTTTATCATGGTTTTATCATGGTTTTTACTGTTACGGCAGCAATATTTTTCTGATATTTAGTTAAAGGTATACTATGCAGGATTTTCCTAAAAACAATGTATGGGGTCATATAGAAGTAATCCCTCTCACTTATCACTTATGAGCCAGTAGAAGAAAATTTTTTTTTCTCATTTAGCTATGTTTGGGACATGCCTGAGCACGGCATGCAGGTGTGGTTTGGACTTTATAAAAAGGTAGCTATGAAAATCGCGGACAGTGCAGAAAAAAATGTAAATATAGCGAGGCGACACGTCAAGTGGACAAAGCTTGCTCCAAAATGAGGGTTAATTGGGGTTGGCTTTCAGTTTCACTTTCATCAGCCATGTTTGCAAACCGTAACCGACCATTCCTGTGTACTATACCTTTAAAGTGAAATTAACACCTTTTATATCCAAACTTTGATTTGATAAAAGGTCAGAATAACTACAAAATATGCTTATTTGTCGGTGCAGTTCTATTGTCATGTGTCTCAGTCACACAGTGATACAGAAATGCACACTTGCATGCTCCCAAGTCCCAAGTTGCATATGCAGCCGTAAAAATCAGAATGTGTTACTCAACCTTCCTGATTAGATAAAGGCTAAAAACAGCATTTCCTCTCATCAACATGCAGTCAGCAGGAAGTCTGCTTGGACAGCTCTGTGGCCTCTGCCAGAATCAACTTAAATCAGTTCACTTTCACACTCAGGATAACTTAACAATGGAGAAGTCAGAGGTCAGTAGAATTGGCTAATGCACACTGTGTAATATTCCTCAGCCTGGTTGTAAAAATGACCTCTGCCTTGGTGCGTTTCCTGTGCATGGAAGATGAAGCTAGCACCAAAGAAGTATTTTTTTTCCAGAGATGAGAAAAATCAGTTATACAAATAAATAAATTTGTTCATATTGTAGCCTGCATGTTTCATTTTGTGTCAGCAAGACTCACAACTCGTTGACTCAGTCTCAATCTCTACTCCCTGTGTCACTTGTTCCTAATCAGAAGCCTGCACATGGGACCAAAAGCTGTCTTGCTATGACTCCCCCCCTGAGATTCCCATAGCGTGCTAAAGGCTTGTACCAAAGTTCCTCTTTACAATATGTGTGTGACTAAGATCAATAAACATTCCCCCTCCCTCTCCGTGTCTGTTCCTAAAGAGAAGGTTATGCAAAGCCTGGTGTTCGTGCCTCTATGCCCTCCTGTCCTCTCTCTCTCTCTCCACATCTCCTCTCCCTCCCTCACTCCTGCTCAGCACAGGAAACCACCCGCCCCCCCTCCCCGACAGGAAGCCATGTTGTCCCAGTGTGCTCGGAAGGCCAAAGCGATATCAATTGTGGAAGCAATGTTTACCTTTTGAGTTTTTATTTTAATCTCCAGCTCTCAGGCTGGTGGCCAGGGAGCTAATGCCCAAATTGCATGGGGCCAAAGTGCTGAGTGGCTTGGGCAGGGCTGGTCCTTTCACACGCAATGCCATGCTCCCAAGAAGCCCCCATCCACAAAGAAAGGGAAAGCAGGGTGGGCCGTTGCTTATACAAGATCCCGGATTCCAGAAATGGTTTCTGAATATCTGCCATTTATCTTTCTGGGAGAGTAGGATGGGAATTTAGGAACTGCTTTTGTGAATGATGCAGAGTCGAATTCCATCAGGTCCAAACAGATCTCATTATAAGGGCATTTTAAAAGAGAACCTCTGGACTCTGCCCTCATGAAAACTATTCCCAGAACCAGCACTCTACCTCTGTATATGGAGTGAAACTGTGTGCAGCCCAGTGTTTTTCCCATAAATCCCTGCTTCAGATTTCTCTCTGTTGGAGAGGCTTTGCTGTGCATCCATGTTTTGTTTAGCTTCATACAGCTCCACACATTAGCACTGAGAGCCTCCCAGTGTGATTACGGACTTCTACCTGTAACCACACAGCAACTCCTGTGTGTTTTAAGTGCCTTGCCCACAGGCCCATCAGCTGTAGTTACTGAGGCGGTGAAGAACGTTGCAGATTATTTTCCTTAGCTGGTTCAGTCATTCAAACTGGACACAAGAAGTTTTCCTATTATAATGTTGGTAGCTCAGTGCTTAGCACTGTTGCTTTTCTCTCACCGCCATCTCCACCAGCTCTCTTCCTTTTCTTGACTGGATGTTACTCACACGCAAAGTTGTTATGGCTGGATGTCTGTTTAGTCTTTCATTAGAACGCCTTTACCCCCCTTTGGCCTGTAGATTTAACACACTGTCGGTCTCCTGTTTATCTTTATATCCAACTAATTTATCCTTCCTTGATAGTATTGATCAACAGTATTTATGACAGGATTCTGGTGACAAACAGCTTTAATATTGCATTTCCTAGGCCTGTAACATCTGTAAAAACTGAGGACGCTAGGAACTGTGATTGAAATTGAGTATCAAATGTTTGATAACTAGCTGGGGGATCACTTAAAAATTGGGCACGGTGATAACGAGAAATCATATTTCTGGATAATGCTGTTGTACGGTTGACTATTGGTGCTTTCACAAATATTTACACAATAAAATTTTTGATAAATAATCATTAGTAATGTGGATATAATGACTAATTGGGAAAAGACAAATAATAAAACAGCTAGAACAGTAATGCAGCTTTAAAACCAGAAAAAGACATCACTTAGAATATTACAATATCAAAGATCTAAGCTGATATCTAGTCTCTTATAGACTCTCTTTTTAATAGTGCACTTTCATCATGCCTCATATTTCAGTTTTAAATATTCCTGACCTGTGTAGTCATACTAATTTGTGGTAGTAAATTTGTCTAAACTGAAAAATCAGTTCACTGTCTGTCTCTTCACTTGTTATTCATTAGCCTGTTTACCTTGGAGCTCTGCCCAGTTCATTCAGATTTTTGATTCGTACCATGACAAAACACTTCCTTGTAAATAAAGACATTGTTGGCTTGTGCTAATAAGCGCGGTAGCTTTTATCTCTGTTCACACAGGTGAAGTGAACACACAAACCCACCAACCTTCTCCCCAACTTGTTGGACCAGTCTCAATAATGTTTTTCTTGCTATTTATAATGGATCCTAATTTGAAATGTACTTATGAATACTAAGTAGTGCACTTGTCTGTGATTAGAGGGAAATCGGGCACATTAATATGACTTCATATTTTGGAAGAAAAAAACTCAGTGCTGTCTGTAGTGGGTGTTGTAAGACCGTATTGTGATATTTAGGCAGGTCTCAAATTAGCTTTTAGTTGGTTAGTGGCTTTTTATCAATACCAGTATACTATGACTGAGCCTCCCAGTGTCTTGCGTGAGAGAGTCCAAAGTACCTTAGCTGTCACAGTGACAGTAGCGTGAGACTGTGCCTCTCTGTCTCCTGGTTAGCGTGAGAGCTCGGCATGGTTGGGGTTGAAGGCCAGGTTTTTCCAGTTTTTCTTTTTTTTTTTTTGTTCTCTGTTCATTTAGTTTTTTTTGTTTGCACATACATGTATGTAAACTTAATTGAGTGCGGCTCAGTTGGCCATTGTATGTTTTGTGTGTAAAATGTGCAGTGTTTTGTTCTCGGCGAGTTATAGTAACTTTCTGAGACAGGTTAAGAAAAGTTTGCAGTCATAGTTACACAAGATAAAAGGAGTCACTATCATGTAGCCAGAATTTGAAACAGCCGAGTGCAGGATCTTATTGTGTGTGGATTACAGCATTTACAACACGATGATGTACTGTCATTAATACACGATGATGTACAGATGTATTTTCACCAACTAGGATGTGAGCAAAGTTGAGACATGAGAGGATTTCTGGGTGATCTGTGCATTTTGGGTTTGGATTGAAACCAAGATAGGCCTGTGGTAGCCCAGAGCAAAGCCTGCTGCTCTGTTTGGACCCTCAGCTTATAAAATTTAGTCCGAGGGACCTGTACCAAAGTTGTATGTTATGAATTAAGTGCTTATATAGCTGTCTGAATTGTATGTTAGATTGCATTTATCACACTGTTGTTGGGATAAATGTAAATATTTTACATTTTGATGGGAACACTGTTTCCTGCCCGTGAGCTGCTGTCACCTCTTCCATTTAAATACTTTGTGTGCTTTTGCTGTAAGGTGTCAGTGTTTACTCACAAATACAAATTGAACTCAGGGATATATTAGAAATGTTGTACGACTGTCCATTTTTAGCATTGATAAGCAGTATACAAGCATTTAATGAATGGTTTGTAACTATAACATAGTTGAACGCAGCTATAAAGACATTTTTGAGTACTTATTTATGCACAGTATTTGTCAGCAATTATAACGTCTCCTGTAAAGGCATATTTGATATTATGTGTTTTGCTATATTGTCATTAATTATCTGTTTCAACACCAGTCTCCACCCATGTGTGCCCAAAGGAGGAGTTATAGCTGTTGACAAATAACATTCATCTGCTTACAACTACATTAATACCATTTTTCCGTGTTTATATGTTCATATAATATCTACAGGTCAGGCTTAATCTTCAGTAACATTGGTTGAAGGTGAACTGCTGGTTGTAGATACAACTGAATTTGTGATTCACTGGTGAAATTTTAGGTTGCTACATCCAGTGTGTATAAATTCCAGTATATCCAGTATATACATTTGAATTAACAGAAATAAATGTGCAATAATGTGATTTGATAAAACCTTTATTTTCCTAAAAAGTGAAATAAAGCAGAATTCTGAAATAAATCCATCTAAATTGATTTTTTAACAATAAATTACTATGAATAAATACATTTCTCAATTAATTTATTCTTTTAGAGCATCAGTGCAATAATCAATCACTGCATGCCAATTCAGATGTGAAAACTTGGATGTCTACCTGCTAATTAATGTGATGTTTCTTACCACCAAAGTACCCTGAATGTAATCCAAGTGAATTATAATAATAATAATGATAATGATAATGATGATGATTCAGAAAGTCTAAAAGTTTGGCATAGGTGCAAGTCGATGACTGAAATATCTATCAAACACAGCCTCACACGTCTTTTTGCTGACATCTTAGTGTCTCTGTGTTCTCCAGCCCCTACAGCCCCAACTAACAGCAGAGGAGCCACACAGGCCACACTTAAGAAAAACAGCGTGAGGAATGGAGGTGCCGGAGGGCTGATGAGGACAAAGGATGACGAGTGCTTTGGAGGCGGGACCGATGAAAACATGGATGCAGACTTCGACTTTGAGGGAAACTTGGCTCTGTTCGACAAAGCCGCTGTCTTCTCCCAGATTGATGGGATCGACAGCCACAGCAACAGGGCACAGCATCAGAGCACACAGGGTGAACAGAAGTCCCTGTCTTATCGACATGATGAGAATATTCTGGAAGTGAAGCCTGTCATATACCGACAGATAACAGTGCCACAGCATCGGGGCAAAGAGTACTGTACTGGTGAGGACAAAACACATGCATACTCATACAGCACACATGAATACACTAGAGTTAGGGCTTCATTTGTGTACTTATGGCACCCTGTGTTACTCTAGATTCTTCAATGTAGTGTTGTCAGTCACAATATTTGTAAAACAGACAGTTCTACAAATATTGTTACAAAGACAGTTGTTGAATCCTGTGAAACCAGCTTTCAGCTTAAACACCCATGTTCAACTTGCCTCAGAAATTCTGTAGCTGATCCTGACATGACCCATGAAGAACTGGGGCTGCTAGTCCATGAAAAAAAATTCCAAGAAATAGATCAGTATCTGTTACAAAAACAAAGTATTGTGTGTGCAGCCAGAGCCAGCAGCTTATTCCTCTGTGCCTCAAACCTCCAATGTGATTAAGAAACAAAAAACACATTACTGAGCCACTCCTGGGTGACCATGAACAACATGATACACTGTCCTTCTGTTTCAAATACTCACTGGGGCACTAAATCCACTGATGAAAATAGTTCCTTACAAATGCACCATTTTTTCTGGTGTGAGTCATGTTTGCTAAAATAAATACAGATCCCAGCTGTTACAGAAAATCACTTTGCCTTTTTATTTTTATTTTTTATTTTTTGACAAATCCACATATTTTTGACTTGATTTTATAGATTTACATTTTCAAAACAAACAAAACGTGTCTTGTTTTGTCAAATGAAGTTTTATAAACTGGATATTAGAGAAGAAAATGAGTATTCAGGGGCTGGTTAGAGCAGGCCTTGGGGTTTTATGGAGCCACTTTGGCAACCTCACATACACGTTTTTGTAGACATTTTATCAGTGAGCATGTGTTTGTTTTGGAAGGAGTCTTTTTTTCCCACTGTGTTTAATCTTTGACCAGGAGTACCATCTGTTAATATAATAACCCTGTTTGGACAATACAGCTCCTGCCAAAAGTTGACTTTTTTACACTTTCTCCTGAGCACAGCACTGAGAAGCTCTCACTGAGGAATGTGCTGTAATGTCTCATTCTGTTGAACACAATGAGAAAAACAACATGAACCATAAAAGGGGGTCTCAGTGGATGCATTGGCTGGAGAAAGGTCACCTTGGGGCAGCCTGACTGGAACCACATCCTCCTGGTTACTGTTTATCATGACTTTTGACTCCCCACACTCCCCTGCAATGGTCCCACAGAGATGATTAACTCTAGAAACCTGTGTGTTACATAACTGGTTAATGCAGACATAAGATAAATAAATGGCATGCTAACACAAGCCCTGGAGCAGTGAGAGGGTGGAGGGTGGGTGGTTTTGGAGAAAGGGCTGAGTTGTATGGTGCAAGTGTATGTGTTATACTACAACTAGAGGGATTAAACGCCACCTTTGTCTGGTCACACGCTAAGGTAGTTTACAGGGCTGATGTGGAATAAGTTAGGGAAGCAAGCATGTATCGGCCCTGTTGTAAGCCAATAAAGGCCCTGCCCTTGGCTGCTCCACAAAGCCTTCTAAGTTATTTCTCTCCCTCAGTTCAGCATCCAAGCTTCTATATGCAGCATCTCCATTGTCTTGAACAATAATAGGACTAGGATGACTGGAACCAGGCTTTATGGGTGACAGCCCGGTATTAGCAGTGATGGTGTTTCCAGCATTTCTATCCCAGACTGTCTATCTGATTGTGGTGACACAGAGCAGCTCAGCAGGGAGCTGCTGTCTACCATTCAGCAGACAGCTGCCAAGCAGAGCCTCCTTTTCTTAACGTGCAGGCAGATCTGCTTCCCAGGGCTGTCATCATAATCCCCATCTTCTGTACTCTGTAATTAGCATGCCGCCGTACAGCCTTACATAAACAGTACCTCTGAAGCAGGAACAAACCGCAGTGCTCTTGACCTGGAATCTTTGCCAGTAAACAGATAAATCAACAATACAAGCATAGAGAAAGAAAAACAAAATGCCTGCCTGTGTGTTAGCGTTGCCATAGCACAACGGCATGGGTGTTTGACAGACCCGTTTCCATAGGCTATTGTCAATTGTAAAGGTTGCAGTCCATTTAAGTTTAGTTTTGCTATTGTTTTGCTTTCCTGTGGTGTGATTGACTCCAGCTGTGCAGTGAAACCTCTTCAGTGCAAACAAGTGCGGCTGCAACACAAATTGCAAGCAAGCCAACTGTCAGCTGGTTTTCCTAGTTTTCTTTGATTTATTTACTTAAGCTGTAGCACTTTGGAGGAATCGGGATGCAAAAGAAATGTGTGTCATGACAAACTCTTTGAACTCATCTGACCTTGGGATAGATGGGAAGGTGAATGTGTGTATCATGAACTTCTCCTGAAACTGAATGCTGTCATGTAAAGAGAAGGCTGCAGTGTTGACAATTTTATCCACATACCTTTATATGAATATTACCTGATGGAGGCCTCACTTACTACAAAGTTCTTAAACTTCAGAAAGTATTATCTACAGGTGTGTGGGATCCTAAACTCTGTGAAAGAATTAGGGATGGGCAGCACAAGCAAAAACACTATTCGAAAATCGTGGCAACTATTCGAAAATTTTTCGAATAATGTCAAATAAAGGGGGGAAATAAGATGGCGAACAGTAATAGTCCCATTAAAAAATCGATTTTTCAAAAATAAAACGACTATTCGAAATTCGAAAATCGTGACCCATCCCTAGAAAGAATCTATAAATTATTATTCAAATTCATATGAATTTTACCTGACGAACGTCTAAGGATAGAAAGGTTGCAAATGAAATTAGTGTAAATGATCAACAGTATGCAGGATTTTTTTTGTTTGTTTGTTTCACCTGACGATGGCCTGAAATGCTACCCTACTTCATGATTTGCAACTTTACATTATTATATTATATTACATTCATTCATTGATGCATCTTCTAACCGCTTCATCCTCTTGAGGGTCGCGGGGGGGCTGGAGCCGAGAGGCAGGGTACACCCTGGACAGGTCGCCAGACTATCGCAGAGCTGACACATAGAGACAAACAACCATTCACGCTCACATTCACACCTACAGACAATTTAGAGTTATCAATTAACCTAGTCCCCAATCTGCATGTCTTTGGACTGTGGGAGGAAGCCGGAGTGCCCGGAGAGAACCCACGCTGACACGGGGAGAACATGCAAACTCCGCACAGAGGGGCTCCCACACCCGGGATCAAACCGGCAACCCTCTTGCTGTTAGGCGACAGTGCTAACCACCACACCACCATGCCCCCCCAACAATTAGTTACAATTAAGGCCTCTACACATGATCAGCTGTAAAACCGCTTTGCGCTGGCTGTCCCATTGTTTGTCTATGGAGAGGGCAGCAACGCCTGACAAAGCGGCACCGCTACCCTTGGCGTCGCGCACCGCTCTGATTTTACGCCCGAGCGCTGCACTCAGAGTTGAAATTATTTGAACTTTGTCCGTGCCGCTGCGCCGCACCTGGCGGTGAGCAAAGCACATTATTCTTATCATGTGAAGGCCGCTTTAGGGATGTTCCAAATGACGTATTTCCCTGATGTTAAAACGGAAGTCTAAACTAAGACTAGTTGACTCATCTAAAAGTAAGAAAACATCCAGAAAATAGTCAAAATTCCATGTAACTGAATGTACAAGGTTAAATGTCTGGGGAAAAAAATATTGCATCTGCATCCTATAAAAGCCATTTAAAGTTGTAAATTATGTTTTTCAATAACCAGATTGTATTTTAAATGTTGAAATGTGTAGCAGTTTGCATCGTGCATTATGAACACTGCTCATTATCCTAAATATCATTCACTGAAAACAGTATTCTGTAGGAGAAAAAAATCTTTAGGAATCATAAGTGATAATTACAAGGGCATTTTGTTTGGGTGAAAGCAATCACATAAAATAATAATAATTTTAATAATAAGTTTAACCAACCAGTATTTGTTGTGCCAACTAGCAAGGGTAGCACCATTTAATCCCCTTCTCAACTAGTCATGCACGTCCCTAGTTAGAAATATTTAGCGTATGCTTTTATCCTCAGTGCCTTACAATAAATGTGCATATGCTTAAGTGTGAACTGCTACATTTTAATACAGAATGAGATATTATTATTTGTGAACCTTTAGATCCAGTCTAAACAGATGTGTCTTCAGTCTGCCACAGAAAAGGGTGTAGAGTTGCTGCTGTCTTTAACGGAAAATCCAATTAAATGCACTACATGACGTGGTTTGATTGATAAGTGAGCAGTAGGCCCCACCAACAAGCTGTTGGCACCAAACATATGACCAAAACGGTAAAAAGGAATATCGCAGATTACTGCATTAAGCTTCTTTTCTGTGCCCCAATGAACCAGTGCCCCATCCTGCTACCTCCTCAGAGTGCAGGTCAACATAGTTCAACTCTTGCAGTGCAGCAGGGAGGAATGTAACAGCCTCGTCTAACCCTCCCTAACCCAGCAGCAGCCTTAGTCACACATGGCCCGCATCCAGCCAGCGTGTATTGCTTTCAGTCCCGTCAGTTCCCTTGTCATGCTTGAAGGATTGCTTCCAGCTCAGTTTATTTTAGTGCCACTGCATACTCAAGGCTACCCGGTTTAGCTAGTTGCCCGTTGAGTTTTGTTTTCGCACCACATCGAGAGTGTGTGTGTGTGTGTGTGTGTGTGTGTGTGTGTGTGTTTGTGCATAAATCATTGCATGCGAGTGAGAATGTTAGGGAGGAGGAGATAGCGTGTGTGTGTGCGTGCGTATGTGTAGTTTGGTAGCGGCGACTTCAGCAAGAGAGTTATTAAGAAGTGCACCTGGTGGGATGCTTGAAAAGCAATTAGCGCATACTAGTGCAACTACCACTTCCTCTGAGCTTGGCACTCGAGCCAGCAGTTTGCATGACAAGAAGCAGTTGACTTTCCTGTGCTTATCGCTCACGTGAGGATTGGCATGTTCCAGATTTCTGTAGCCCACATAAACATATTGGCAGTCTTTGCGCGGTATCAATAAAAGAATGGTGGGAGGGGAGCAGGGCCAACCTGAAGATAAGCAAGAATTCGGTTCAGGCACGGCATAAGTCTTTGTGTTTATGTGTAATTATCTTGTGTATGAGGGTGTGTGTGTGTGTGTGTGTGTGTGTGTGTGTGTGTGTGTGTGTGTCACTCTGTCCATGTTGCATGCCACAGTGAAAAGTTGTGGGCGTATATGTGTTTGTACATCAGCCCGTTGCGAGGGCGCTGTAGGATGAGGTGTGTGCTAGCTGTGCGTGTGTGTCAGTGCGAATTTGTGCACGCCAACGAGGCCACAAAGTTCTCAGCCACCAGGCCAGAAATCTGTAGGAGGCCATTAAGGACTTAACTGCCTCCCAGCAGCTTTATTTATCAAAGGGATCCTGAGCCTTGCAGTTCCCCCAGCTTGACTTTCATTACCCTTCTAATGTGCCATGGGCAATAGACAGCTAGGGATTAGCACAGGCTCTTTAAAGGTCCCCACACACTTTAGTTCTGTAATACAGTAGTTCAAGAAATACACAGAGGAGAACAATTCTGACAGTTTAAGGTGACTTCACATGACAAGACATATGGATTAGAGCATTTTTCTCAAAAGAAAGATGGTTACTAAAAAACAAGCTTAATGTGATAGTGGTAATAAGTGGAGATGTTCAGGTTTTTAAAGACATCCAATCCACATGTAGTCATGAGATATTTGATCAGGGTTTCATACAAAAGGTAAACTTTTGCACAATTCGTAAAACCAGACATCAAGGCTTGGGCATACTTGCCACAACGAAAGTCCACAGAGAGCTGTGGTCATGCGGACGTGCACATGGTTCTATTCATAGTACCATTTGTTTACGCTCACAGACAACATCTTAAATTGGCCCCTAATGTGAAAAGGGGGAAATTGTTGAAACTGAAGGTGCGCTGACTCTTTTGCCTTGGAAATACAGAGTTTTGACAGTGTTTTTATTAAGTATTGACGAGTGCCGCACCAAAGGCTGTGCATTCCTTGAAATACTATACAAAGTTCAATACAGAATAGGGATGGGACGATATATGATTTATCATGCCTCATGGTAACACAGTAAGATGTGTTGAATTTACATTATTGGGATAATTGTGACCATTGTGTCCAGCAGCACCCAAAGAGACTGTTGGGCAGCCAACAATAAAGAGACCCTGCGAAAACAGGCTGCAACAACCTCAAAAAATGCATTAGATCTTAATCAAGCATCAAGATATGAGGCCATTTCAAATAGTTAAAGCCTTATTTTTTTACAGTGTTTTTTTAAGAAAAGGATGCTCACTAAAAAGAGTTTTAAGGACATTTTGATGCTTATTGGGAAAATGTAGTGACTGGCAATTACTTTTGGCATATAATGTGGACATAAAATGTTCTAATACAGAAACTGCAAATAATAAACTACAGTCCATGAATTTCTACAGCTCAGTCACTATCATGCTTCCCCCATGTTTAGCTCTCCCCGATCTCTCACCATGAGCTGTTGGGATACAGGTGCAGGTGTGCACATATATTTATATGTGATGTTTGTCCCTTTTTTGTCACGCCAACCTGCAGTATGTTTTGACTGAGACAGCAGCCCATGTGGGGGGGGGGGGTCCAGCCCAGTGCAGCCCCATCCCACAGCTCAGGATTGGGGATTGGTCAGAAACCATGTGCTGGTGCGTGTGAACTCAGAGCCTGCGGGGAATAGGCGTCTCACTCTGGCTGCCTCATGTTTGTCATGTTTTGTAAAGGCTGCCAATCTTCCCTTTGTTGCCACAGACAGCAGTGACAAACAGGAGAGGAAATGGAGAATCTTCCGTGATGGGAACGAGATCAGGTCATGAGGAGGAGGAAGGGCTTTTTCCCTGGGGAATGGGTTCCTCTGTGTTTATCTGTAGACCAGCGTTTGTCGTTATCTTAGAGGTCAGGATTCTGGGTTTCACTTCTACTCCAGTTGTTGTTTTTCAGGGTGCTCAGGTGGAGATAAATTGAAAACCGACATAGTGCTTACAAAGATGTGTTAAAGGCAGGTCCAATTTAGAAATATGACACATGTCAGACCATTCCAGTGGATGCAGGAATGTAAGAGTACAAATATACTACTGAATATTAAATTATTTCAGTTAATTTTGGTCAAATTAGATGTATTCCCTCCAATTTCCCTAAATGTGATATATGCTGCTCTGTCTTTCACTGTTTTAGGTATAGATTAAATCAAACAAAATGTCTCCCACTACTAACTCCCACTGTGTATAACATTAGCAACATTACATAAATTGTTTTTAAAAGCAAGGCCTGTTTTTGGCATGGCGCTTGACATGACTTTGATACCAGTGGAGGAATGTTAATGACAGAGTTTATTATTAGTTGAGAAATTCTATTTTGTGCCTTGTGTTTTGCCTAGCGACGCTTCATTAGGGCAGATGTTTGCAAGATCAGGAAGCTGTTTTCGTTAACTACTAATCCATCCTGACATGGTCTACGTTATGTTACTACAGACATGAGAACGTATCCAGCAACACGAACACGCTACCCCTCTCACCTCATGTTTTCTCTCTGCAGATTCAGGCCTGGTGGTTCCCAGCGTGCCCTATGAGCTTCATAAGCGCCTACTAGCAGCCGCAGAGCGCTGGGGCCTGTCTCTCGAGCGCAGGCTGGAGACGGTCGGCGTTTGTTCCAGTCAGATGGCTCTCACTCTGCTGGGTGGACCAAACAGGTAAACAATACTGCTCTGGGCTCTGGTGTAAAGGTGCAGCGTAATGCCTGGTAAGTGTGTAAAAGAATGAAGTTAGTCAGTTTCTGGCGTACACTGCTTCTCATCTGTTGTGCACACAGAGCTGCTGTCATGTGTATAATTAGAAGAAGAATGTTCGCCAATGTGCCAAACATCCCTGTCTGAATAGTTATACAATCATTAGAGCAGGTCTGTCCAACTTTTTGTTTTCATGTTCTGTTTTCCAGTTACCATGGCAATCATCTTTACTACCATGTTTCTACATACGTTATGTCGTGTTAACCTTGACCTTCTCCTCAGGGTTTATTTTCTCAGGATAGCACTACAGCGAGCAGTCACACTGCATAATAGCCTGAAGTAGCCCTGTTTGGTATTGTGTACCTTCATGAGCGGTGTAGTCTTATTTAAATCAAAGAACCTCGGCACGCAGGCTCATATAACAAACAGGTTTACTGTCTCAGATCTTTTTATCAATTTGGCACTCTAATATTTGAGTGTCTCAAGTTTACACTGGGACTACTGTGAGCTCAGATCAAGTGTAACTTTGTACTGTAATATCAAGCCCACTGACACTACAATGGTGTTCCACTATTTCCCTATTCCCTGTCATACAAGTCATTTAATTCACACTCAAAAGGTGTAAACATATGCAAGCACTCAGTCCAACTTCAGATGTTTATTGCTTCTTTCTTGTTTGTATGTTCAATAGTAAAAAAAAAAAAAAAAACAACTATTGGTAGCTACCAAGGTATGCAGGATCTGTAGGACAGCTATGTAGGTAGGTGCTCAGCTACACGAGTTTTTTTTTTTTTTTTTACCTGATCCTAGCTGACATTGGGCAAGGGGTGGGGTACACCCTGGACAGGTCACCAGACTATCACAGGGCTGACACACAAAGACAGACCACCATTCACACTCACATTTACACTCTCACAGCAATTACAAGTCCGAGTTAACCTAACCTGCATATCTTTGGACTGTGGATGGAGAAAGACCCCAGCTGGCCGAGTGAACCCAGCACTTTCTTGCTGTGAAGCGACAGTGCTAACCACTGCATCGCTGTGTTGGCCCGTGCGATAGTAAATAGCATGGGTTCCAATCAATCTGATAGAAATGTGCAGCTTTTTATGTGTTCTACTGAACCTCTAAACCTAAACCTTAACCTAAACCATGTTTCTAATAATAAAACAGATTAATAATCCCAGTTGTACAAAAGTAGGTGATGATGTTATAGGACATGAAGATTTTGGGAGGAAAATAAGTAGCCAGTATAAAAGTTTTAAAATGCAAACATCAGTAAACATACCATGTTGAACATGCAGATTCTTTACTTTTTACCAGCTCTAGCTTTATTATTGTTGTTAATGTTTGTCAGTTCATATAAGTGTAAACGTGAATGTAATGTATTTACCATCAGTGTAGGTAGATGCTGTGATTGCTCCTTGTGTGTTTTAAAGTGATTGAATCACAGTGTGAGTTGAAATTGCATGACAAGCTCTGAACAACACGTCTTGTGTACACTGGCAGGATAGAGGGCTTCCTGGTGTCCTTAAAGAACCATATCTCATGTTGTCCTTGATTGAGGCTGGGCTACACTTGGATATCAGCCAGCCGGCATGCTGGATATGATGCAGTTTGTTTGATAACATCTTTATTGTTTAACTTACGAACACTTACATCAGTTGTGTTTGTTTGTGGAGTAATCTCTTTGTTATCTCTTGCATGTCCTCAGACTCACCCCAAAAAATGTCCACCAGAGGCCAACTGTGGTCATTCTGTGCGGGCCCCACGTCCAGGGAGCCCAGGGCATCAGCTGTGGTAGACACTTGGCCAACCATGAAGTGGAGGTTATCCTGTTCCTGCCCAATTTTGTCAAGATGCAGGAGTCGGTCACCAATGAGGTCCAGCTCTACAGCAGGACCAGCAGCAAGCAAGTGGCCAGCATCAAAGGTAGAAAACACCAACAGAGAGCATTCAGATGATTAAATCCCTGTCTACTCAGGATTTAGTGACACTAATGGAAAGGACCATGCTAGGTGTATGGGCAGATCTGTGTCCAAAGTGATGGTGATAAATGTAAACATGATTCAGAGTGTCTGTTACAGGATTAGTTCATGGTGTCCTGTTGCAGCAGTCCAGCACAGATAAATATTGCCCTCTAGTGGAGCAACACCATTTATGACTCCTCACATTTAAAATTCCTTTAGATTAACAGTAAAGATTGTGTTAGAGGGTTACCTTTTTTAGTGCACCAAAAAATGTATTTCTCATGGTTTTCTGAGGCACCTTTAAAACCCTGCATCCACCAACATTATGTCCCTTTCTCCTCCTCTGCCGCAGACCTGCCTGTGAGCCCAGTCGACCTCGTCATCAACTGCCTGGATTGCCACGAGAACCCACTGCTGAGGGAGCAGACCTGGTACCAATCAGCCGCCGACTGGGCCAACCAGAACCGGGCTCCAGTCCTAAGTATCGATCCCGCGGTCAACGGTCAGCCTCCGACTGTGGAGGCGAAGTGGACTCTGTCTTTGGGCCTTCCACTACCTTTAACTGAGACGGAGAGCAGGGTCTACCTCTGTGACATTGGCATCCCTAAGCTGGTTTTCCAGGAAGTTGGAATCCGCTACCACTCACCCTTTGGGTGTAAATTTGTCATTCCTCTGCACACAGCATAACAGAGGCCTCACTGACAATGCACTTAGTTACAAATGGACAATAGGAGGGAATGTTTTGCTTTTCCACAGTGGGTAAAAGTGCCATTGTGTATGTGGCTATAGCTAAAGACCAACTGTATGATGTAAATATTTTGTTACAAAGTGTAAACAACTTCATGACACGTCTGAAAGTACACAGTGCGGGTCTTTCCTCTTACCCTGCTGGAAACTCCCGGGGGTTGCCACACGTTGCGTGCGACACCTCTTGTTTTTGGGAGGGAAAGGTTTCCTGTTCTTTGGTATGTTTTGATAAGGGCTCTGTGACGATGTGAATATGTTTACAAAATGCTGACCACTGTGAGTCTATCTGTGACCTCTGATCCTGTGACCAGTCAGAACAGCACAGACACAGTTCCTGTTTCCTCTTTTAGATTGCATGTGCAGTCTGGTCCTGACCCTGTGACCCTTATACACAGTTCAGCCTAAAGCTGTCTGCCAACCCGAATCTGCCACTCATCTGTCCTACAGCTGATGTCCATGTCCATTGTCTTTCAATTTATTTGAATTTTGTACTCACTTAAATGGGTGTGTTTTTTTCTATTAATGGCTGTAGCATGTTCCACTGAAAAGGGGTGGTGTTACACAGAATCTATATTTGTATTATTTGTATTTATTTTTGGAATACATCTCAGGAACAATGATTGAGAAATGGAAAAACTTTATATTTGAATTTACATTACATCTGATAGCACTCTTTCTGCGCTGTTGGGTGTCTTGAGTTTATAACCACTGACACTGAAAGTGAAAAGATGTAGCAGCAGGCACTCCTGAGGATTCATATTCTGTATTTCTCAAGTTTTGCAGACCAGACAGGATTTTGACACACACATTCCAAGGACCAAAAAACATCTTGGACCAGGTTAATCTCCAGGGATTATAGCTAGTTAGGTGCAGCAAAACCCAATTATTATTTTCCATTTTTGACACATCAGATTCAGCCACCTTCAGTGAAATAACCACTTCCTCTCTTTTGGTCAGCACAGTGATCTGTTAAAACCTCAATGTTACAAGTAAGAGGAAAACAGCCTTATATTTAGACTGGCAGCTATGCACTTTTGAAATTATGCTGGTAGCTTTTTTTAAGAGCGATCAAGCCCTCATGTCATGGTTTTCTTTTTCAATTGCAAAAAATATATATAATATTTCAAGTTAAAACCTGTGAGCCAAAAAATGTAATCATAATTTATAAATGACAGATTGATAGGCTTTGCAGGGTTCTCACTTAACTGACCTCTACACTTTGAATTTAATGAATCATTTAATGCACTTAAGCAAACTGCAGTCTCTGAACGTAATGTGTGACAGAGGGGTGAAAAATCTTTTTGAAGCAGTAGCCGTGGCTGTTCTGTCAAAAATAATAGAAAAGAATCAAGAACAAAGAATCATGACAGCTCCTCGAGAAATATGAGAATTGCACTTTTTGTAATCTCCTTCAGAGAGAACTTTGCTTAAAACTGTCTAGAACCAGGTGTACAAAGAGAAGGGCAGAGAAGATTAAGAGTAATCTCTTGGTGCTACTACAAGGTTCTAAATAAGAAATGTCATTGTAGCCTCTTTTCCTGTCCGTTCTCAGAACCACTTTTCTTTTTCTAGACTAGATGAAACGCTGCAATTAATCATGCTTAAAAACATTCCCTGTAAATTTGATTGGGGAAGAGTCTCATCTTGATATTAATGTGAGGGGAAAAAAGGAAGACATGAACAATACAAAACAAGATGAATATAGTACTGATGGGTTTGTATCTCACATTTTTCTAGAGTGTAGTCAACTTTGTAAAGTCTTAAATATTTTTTACTTGAGATTTTGACTTAAGTTATTGCTAGCCACCTTGGTTATTTCTATAAAGCTGCTGATGAGAGCACTAAGTAAGCAAGCCTGGTAAATACAGCCTGTGGGGAATGTGATCTAAAAACATGTTCAAAATGTAGGCAAAACATTTGAGACTGCAAAAAAAAAAAAAAAAGTCATTGATAAACATCCAGCCTGGATCTTATGACAAGACACTGGTGCTGCCAGTGGGTGCTCCTTTGTATGTAAATGAGTAAATAAATAAACAGTGTATAAACTGAGAGGTCTTGGTCATTGAGGAAAATACACTTCGATTACTACACTTAGTGCAGTTTTGAGCCGCTCACTGTACTTTTGTATTTCATCTAATGTTCTCAAACTGTATTTGACTCTATTTTTTGACTGCTATAATTGTTACTACTTTGGTATGACGATTTAAATAACAAACAGGCTGTATGATCAGTTTATAAAACATGATGTGTTATGGATTCAAGTACAGCAGATAGAATTAGCTCCATCTTGACCAGCTGCAACATTCATGCTAATGCTAATCACACATGAATGCATCAGAGAGTTATCCAGTGGCGCTAAAGAGGCCATTACGCATGGTGAGTTACTCTGCTTATGCAACTTACGTACATCATTTCATAATACTACCATAAGACTACTTGTGGTGGAGTCTGTTTTTGGCAGTGACTATTTTTACTGAAGTACATATAAAAACTTATATTACTGCAATTAAGTTATAATAAAGTTCAGTTACACATTGCAATAGGATTTTAAACAGCAGACATGTATTTGTGATAGCAGAAAAACCACAGGTGTTAACATTAACAATGACTATGTACTATTCCCAGTAAACCATGGCATTGGGCCATTAAGTCTGGATGTCTGCAGCGTTATGTTCCCCGGCGCTTCCAGTGACATTCATCTATGTCAGTGGCCCTAATAAACCTGACAGCAAACTGATTGTTTTGCCAGTTTACCTTTTTAACAGTAGATATTTTAACATACAGCATGATAAGCATAGGTGTAACTAATGACATCAATTCCGACTGCATTTCATTTAGGGGTTCCTCTTCCAGGGCTGTATGATTAGTTAAACATAAATTTATTTAGGAATGGTCAGCATGAAACGAATGAAATGAATGACACTGCCAAATTTTGAATTTTTTTTTACAAAACAAATAAATATGGGGCCCCTAAGGGACTTATCTACATACCTGTAAAATGTTTAGTGTGTAACAGGACAGAGAGGCTGTCTTTTGTAACAGTAGTTTATTCTACTGCTACTACACAGCTGTTTTTAATTACCGCATGAAATACTTAAACAACACTGGTCACATCAATTATCAGTTAAATTGTCAATCAAAAACACCTGTGGGAGTCCAGTTTGAACATACTGCACTGAATTATCATTGGCCTGAATACAGTAGGGTGAAGTCAGGAGATTTGGGACACTTTTTGGTTTACCAAGTAAACCACCGAAAACTCTGAAGACTACCTTGAGCGTGACTTTGAGAACTTGTTATGGTTCTCTGCTATATTTCTATAACGGAAATATTTTGCCAGGTAAAATACTTCAGAGACTTTGGACATTCAAACACATCGGGAACCCCTAACTCACTCCAATGACAAGTTCAGGTAAAATGGGACAGCTGGAAAAATGGGACAGTCATGTTTGTTTGTTTTCAAATGGTTAAATTAATTTATCAGTTAAATCATTAATGTCTCTATGTGTCAGCCCTGTGATAGTCTGGCAACCTGTCCAGGGTGTACCCTGCCTCTCGCCTAAATGTCAGCTGCATAGGATAGGCTCTAGTTTGGTCATAAATTCATTAAATCACTGTTGTAACTTTACTATTCATTACAAAACATTGTCCAACTTTTCTGCCATGCATTCCCTGTTCTTTTGCTGCCTGTTTTCCTGGTGCCATATTGTCTACAATGGACACGCATGTGTGTGCTTACGCGTGTGTAACAATGATGTTTATTTCTGGACTATTGTGGCTGACATGGACTCACCGCATCATCTTTAAAAAATATTTTAGTGACAAAAATACTATAAATGGCACACAATAGCATACCATAAAACTTCAATTAAAAGCCTAGTCCCAATTAAAAGCCTAGTCCCTTTTACTAACCTAGAGTGACAACACATTTTGACAAATAAAGGCCTGTCTCAATTAGACGCCTGGTCTAGTTGCAAAGCAGGTCTTTTAATTAGTTCTTTGGATGTATAAAGATGGATTGTTGACTACCCACTTGAGCTAGCATAAGATAGCTGTTTAGATTGCACATACAAATATAATCTTTTAAACTTTTGTCTGTATGGAGATGCGACACATTGTTAGTTCAGTTCATTTTATTGAACCCATGAGCACCAGAGAAGAGCATAATTCACTCAAATTTACCAGCATGACGAATGAATATGTTTCTACCCAATGAGTTATTCATATTCCTTTAGTCCGTAAGGGTCCACTGATCAAAAGAATCAAAAGTGTTTTTCATAAAAATGAATCCAAGTTATGAATATTGTTTTAACAGGATAAAGTGGTGTTGTGTCAGTATGTTGGGTGCCGTTATCCTCGGGTGCTGTGAAACAAGTGTCATAACATAACACATAATTGATATGTATGGAATCATATTGCTGCCACACCAGGAAAAAAATAATGAGTCAGTATTACCTTATAACGTGAAAAGTTTATTGTTCTAACAAGAAGTTTTTCACGTTATAACAACATATTTTCATATTAAAATGTGATAACTTATTGTAAAAACGTGAAAAGTTTCATGTTATAACATGATGATTTATATTGTTAGGGCATTAAAAGTTCCACATTATGATGCAATATTTGGTCTCAGGAGGAGGTGCACCCATAAACTCCGGTTGTGATTTGACACCTGGCTATTTGCAATGAACAGGCATCAACATGGCCCAAAACACGGATAACATGAAACTATATTGTTATAACATGAAACTTTTCATGCTCTCACAATATAAATGATCACGTTATAACTTATAACATGAAACTTTTCACGTTTTTACAATGTAAGTCATCACGGTTTAACATGAAAATATATTGCTAGAACGTGAAAATATCCATAGATATGTTATTTAAAGCCTAATTTTTATACAAGTAATATTCATACTGATTTATATAAACAATTTGATCATATTTCCCATCTTTGCTGAGCAACAGTTTTGTGTGAAAAGGACTAAAGGCCTGTCCCTATATAAGCCTGTTGACTTCAGTGATTTGAGCAAGTGATCGCCCGGGCTATGAATTGAGATTTTATGGTAAGTCATGATTTTATGGCGCCTTGTAGCCTAAAACAAGCTGGTTTCACTTCAGAAAATGCTCCATTTTCACTCATATTTCTCATCCCATTTTATCTGAATGCTTTAAGTGCTCACCCAAAACCCCTTTCCATAAAAAGTACAGTTTATTGCGAAAATGTTTTGATTACTTGTCACACATTTAATAAAATGCAACATTCCACAACCTTTTTTGTTGTTATAACCTTCATGTTTTATCAGCAGCATGCCACGTGGCTTTCCTTGCAAGTTCTGGGACCAGTGGATTTTTAAATCCTTAGTGTGTCCACACTAATTATCTAAGACCAATTAAAATGATTGTTTTTAATGTAAAACGCATTTGTATTAACAATGCAATAGCATGTGTGGTGATGAGCTGGCAATATTTAAAGAGCCCACAATGTAAAACCTTATTAATCCCATTTTACCTGATGTCTAAAATGACCTGACTTCACCCTAGTACAAGATGTACCGGTATCTCACAGCGTACATACATCCTGTACCACTGCATACCATAATATAAGCATGCAGACAGCTCAGGGGAGATCTCCCTCCCACAGTAACAGTAACAGTAACAAGTCAGCCATCAGTTGACAGCCTCACCTGTTGGCCACACGGTTGTGCTCACAGACCGCTCGCCCCGTGGCTCTGCTGCTCTTCCGCGCATGCGCGTTGTGTTGACGGAGCGGCGGAGACCATTTCCTCCAGCAGCAGGCCTCACAGAGCTCCGCCACACACACGCAAACATACACACATATGCAGACAGGGAACGGACGAGCGTCAAAGCAAAGCCACGTTTGGGATTGTCTTATCTTACCGCCGCTAAACCTGGATGCCCCGCGACCGCAGGAGTCATCCTAATGGGCCTTCATCGCTAATTTGCAGCAACATCTGGTCGACACTACAGTGGTATCTTTGGGGTGAGTTGCCCACAGCGCAGTCACTGTTTTGTCTCGTTGTGTTGCTGCTGCCGCTGCAACGTTTTTTTAGCTCGGGAAGCTTCGGGACAGCACAGGGGAATGTCATTTTTGGGCTTTGTAGCCTGTATTTATCCGGGGTTTGCTTCATGTTGGCTAACGGCTTTGAACGGGTACAGGGAGCTAACGTTAAACCTGTTAGCCTTAGCTGCTAGTTAATATACACTGTAACGTCACGAGACCCATTATCGGACACTATTTATGCTAGGTCTAAACAGATTGTAAACGTCCAGTCTATCCCCTATACATTCATTGGGTTTGACAGTAGAGCAGCAAACGCATTAACAAAAACAAAACAGGTAACAGCTCAACAACGTTTGTGTTTTTAACTCATTACCTGCAGTCATGTTCTTGTCGGGGGCGATTTTGTGGCGGTGCCCAAAACCTCCGAGTCACCCACCTTCCTCTCCCCTGGTTCCATAATCGGACGCCTTGGTCGCAGTTGGCTTTGCGGTTTTGACCTTTACCAATCACTGTCTTCCACAGTTAATTTGTTGACACACTGTGGTCCAGCACTGTACGGAAGCCCACAGATAAAGATGGGAGTCCGTTAAACAGGGAACCATGCAGCATTGTGTTACAGGCGGATGCGCCGTCCTGGATTTGTGGAAAAATGTTTTACTGAGAGTAGAGGGACAGTTATAGTATTGTTGGAATAAAACCATGTGCATATCAAACTTATACCAGTCCTGTGCTCCTACCTTTTAGTATTGTTTTGTATTTTGCTGGGAAATGCGGACGAGGAGCATGGAAGAATGAATCCGTCCGATAATGGACCCAGTCATTTTAGCCACCTCCGCGCTGCACTAAACAGGGGGGCTGGAGCTGAGGTTCAGCCCCTTGCATTGAGGAAACACTGATCCTATCTTTCCACTGATATTGTTTTAATATAATGTGTCTTCCATGAATACATTCTTTAGCATTTGTCTTTGTTTGAAATACGTTACTGTATATACTTGTGGAGAAGTGATTAAGCAGAGTTGTC